GTATCATGAACTGCCAGAAGAACACACAAATCTGTGTTGGAAGTCCAGCCAGAATGCTCATTAGATGCCAGGATGGCCAGACTTTGTTTCTCTTACTTTGTGCATGTCATCAGGAGGGAGCAGTCCCTGGAGAAGGACATCATGCTTGGTAAAGTGGGAGGGTCAGAAAAATAGAGGAAGACCCTCAGTGAGATGGATGGCATCATCAATGGGCTGAAACACAGCAATGATTGTGAGGTTGTCACAGGATCAGCCAGGGTTTCGTTCAGTTTTACATAAAGTCACTATGAGTCTTTATGTACAATCACAAAGGAAAGGAACTAAAGACTAAACCCTTTTAAATACTAAAATTTGTAAATAGAAGAGTATTGTTCTTGTTATGTGCCCTGGAGTCAGTTCTAATTTATAGCAACCCTACCTTCAAAATAATGAAACGGCCTGGTCATGCACCATACTCATTGTTGTTCTTGTTAGGTGTCATCCAGTTGGTACGGACTCATAACAAAACAGAATGAAACACTACCCAGTCCTGTGCCAACCTCACAATCACTGCTAAGCTTGAGCCCACTGATGCTGATACTGTGTCAATCCTTCTTCTTCGTCTCCAAACCTCCACTTTGCCAAGAATGATGTCTTTCTCCAGGGACTGGTCCCTCCTGACACTATGTCTGAACCAAAGTTCTGCTAATTTCAGTTATTCTTTCTTCAACATTATTTTCCTAACAGCTACAACAACAACAAAAACAGCACAAACATTCTACCAAGTAAGCAAACACAGGATTCTTAAAAGCGCTCCTGTTGTTCAGGTTCAAGATGAAAGGTCTGTCCCACTTTCTTTACCTCTCACGGCATGAGACAGAGATTCTTTCCCTAGTTTTATTCCCACCAAACTCCCAGTAGCCGCAAAACTTTGTTTCTCTTTCCGTTTCCCCTTCCCCATTACCACCCTACACTTCAGTGTCCATGATCTGAGTGCTACCTCAACTCACAAATACTGTTGATGTCAGGTGCCATTGAGTCAGAACCGACTCATAGCAACCCCATGCACAGCAGAATGAAACAATGTCCCAACCTGGGCCAACCTCACTACCACTGCCACATTTGAGTCCATCAATGATGCCACCTGGCCAATCCATCTCGTTAGGGGTCTTACTCTTTTTCTCTGACCCTCTACCTTACCCAGCATGACATCCTTCTCCAGCGACTGTTCCCTCCAGACAATATGTCCAAAGTATGAGAGACGAAGTTTAGCCCTCTTGGCCTCCAAGGAGCACTCTGGCTGCACTTCCTCCAGAACTAAGAAGCACCTGACCCAAGCCATGGCATTTTCAATAACCTCATATGGATGCAAAAGCTGGACAGTGAATAAGGAAGATCGTAGAAGAATTGATGCCTTTGAGTTGTGGTGTTGGAGGAGAATACTGAGGATGCCATGCACTGCCAAAAGAACAAACACAGTAGTTCCTTGTAATCTAGTTGGTAGTGGTTATGTGCCGTGGAGTCAGAACCAACTCATAGTGACCCTGTACAGGGTTTCCAAGGCAGTAAATCTTTACGGGAGCAGAAAGCCTCATCTTTCTCCCCCGGAACAGCTGGTAGTTTCAAACTACTGATCTTGAGGTTTGAAGCCCTATTTGTAACCACTATGCTACCAACACATATGTTTAAAAATAAACAATCAAAGCACTGCCAATGAGTTGATTTTGACTCACAGAAAATGTGTATAGTGTTTCTGAGACTGTACGTCTTTGTGGGAGCAAGAAAGTCTCATTTTTCTCCCTTGGAGGGGCTGATGGATTTCAATGGCAGTCCTTGTAGTTAGCAGTCTAGTGTTTATCTTGCAGAGCCACCAGGACTCCCACTTAACAAATGCATAAAACATAAACTGCATATGCTGGTTTTCAAAGTGGGCTTTAAAAGAAAATGTAAATGAAAACAGAAAATTAAACCAAAATATCATTGTTGTTAAGTGTCCTTGTGTCAGATTCGTGCACCAAGAACCTGTCTAGGATTTCTGAGAAGTGACTGGTGGGTTTGAACAGCTGACATTGTGGTTAGCAGTCCAGTGCTTACCCTACAGCTCCCACCAGGACTCCACTAAAAAGATTGCTGCTGTTGTTATTAGGTACCATTTGGCCCAGGATCAGGCAGTGTTTCCTTCTGCTGTGCATAAGGTCGCTATGAGTCGGTACCGACTCGATGGCACCTAACAACAACAACAATAGCAGGTTCCAACTCACACTGATCCTATGCACAAGAGAATGCCTGGTCTTGCTCCATCCTTACAATTGTTACACTTGAGCCAATTGCTGCTGTCACTGTGCTGATCCATCTCCTTGGGGGTAAGTCTTGATCAGTTCAAATCAATAATGGCAAACCTTTCTACTTTGCACACAGTTGGTTTGGGAACATGCATATAAGACATTTCAGAACACTGAGCTATGTCAAGAATTCTGATATGGTTTCTCAGGAGTCCTTAATAAAGTCATATATCACCAACCAAGGATTTACCTGGAAATTATTTGCCACTGATGTCATTTTGAAATAATCAATGCTCTCAACATTTAAACCATTTCATATTGCATCGTTGATTACAGGCTTCTATAAAATATTTTAACGCTATGTACCAAATGTTTAATTTGCCTAGTTTTCTATGCTCTTTGTATTATTATATCAATTTTAAATATAGGAAATCTGTGTGAAAGGGAAGCTCAATATATTGGTCATGGTAGCATTAGGATACTATGTT